GTCCTCATCTTTGCTCCCCTCCCCACCCCCCCGCCCCCAGCTATTCCTTCCTCTCCCCCCCCCCCTCCCCCCCAATCCCCCAATAGCTTGGCTCCAACCATGAGGACATCCCTAAGTCCTGGTGAGAAGCGACCTCAGTGACTCTCTCTCACAGTGCCAGGAAGAAAAAACAAAAACCTATCCGTAAGGACTCTGAACCACCCGGTGAACACGGGCTTCCTCTCCATCCGCCAGGCAAACATCTACCCAGCAATGCACGATAAAACGTGCCCGGTTACTGAAAGGGAGTTTCCTGACAGCGCTGGCGAAAGAAACCCCAACCGCTGATTTCTGTCTTACATCACTGGAAAAATCCTCCAGGGGTAAGGTGCGTGAATACCTCCCCTCCCCCTCGCCGGGGCTGCCAAGGTCAGCGAGGCCAAGGCACCGGCCAGGAGGGGCTGGCCTGACCATCACAGAGTCAGCAAACACTGGGTGGCCGGTTAACCCTGTGCAGGCGGCACCCTCATTCAGCACGTGCTCCCGCCTCCCTCTGCACCCTGTTCCCCTGTAGCCCTCCTCCCTCCGCCACCCAAGGCGCCCGCACCCCGAGGGGCCACTCCTGGGACCCGGACCCCAGGACACCTCAGAGACACAGCGGCCGTCACGTCCCATTTCAGTTTTGTGAAAAACAAAAACACAAAACAAACAAACAAACAAACAAACCACAAACAAAACTCAGATGCTTAAAAATGGGGGAGGAGGGACTTGGAAATAAAGGAAAACCCCTTGCAGTTTTCCCAGTTCAAGTTCCCAGGCACGGCTCTAAGTTCATTAATTGGGGATTAATTAACAACAAAAGTGTTTCCTACACCGAATGCGATGCCAAGCTGGACCAACCTGTCTTGCCCTTTTTTTGGGGGGGACTTGGTCCAAGTCCCCCACCCGCCCCCGATCCTGGATTTTGCCTCTTTCCGTGCCCCTGCGGGATGACGAGACTTGTCCGGAGCAATCAAACTGAGGATCGCCTCCCCCAGGGCGAAAGGAAATAAAGAAATAAGCCGCAGGAGGGGTCGGGGACAGGATGACACCCAGCCTCGCTCCGCAGCAGGGAGCCCTGTCCTCCCCGCGGGCGGGGACGGTCCTACCTGCGGCGGCGGCGGGGTCCCGGCGCCCATGGCTCGGCGCGCCTCCGGCGGCCGCGCGGGGAGACACCGGCGGCTCCGCGGCGCTCGGAGCCCGCGGCGCCCGCAGCGGCCGCCCCGGCGCGGTCATTGGGCCGGAGCATCACGTGGCCGCCCGGGGCGAGCCTCCCTCCCCCGCCCGCGTAACCCTTTACCTGCGCGCCCCGCGCCGCGGGGATCCCCCCGAGGTGCCCTGGCTGCACCCCGGGCGCGCGGGGGCCCCGGTGTCCAACTCCGACCCCCTCCCGCCCCGCAGCCCGCGCCCGCCTCCGGGACGCACCGAAGCAAAGAGTGCTGGCGCTCCGCCTCCGAGCACCCGCGCCGGGGTGCACGCCAGCCCCCTGCCCCAGCTGGGAACTTGTTCTGTCCTGCTGTCGGGAGAGGGGAGCTTCCCAGGGTCCGGGACGGAAGTGGGGAGACAAATGCATGCACCCCCTGGCCCCAGTAGATCTATACTAAGATGACCAGATTTTTAAAAACCGGGACGTTTTTTTAAAAACGCTGCGGGACGGGGGACAAATTGTTGAAAATCGGGACCGTCCCGCCCACCCGAATCTATACCCCTCACCCCCGAGTTTTTCAGTAACCTCCGCCGTTCTGCGCGGTCGCCTGCCTCGGGACATGGATGGTTTGCTAATTCCCGGGGAAGCTGCAGGCGCTCGCCTTGTCTAGACCACAGACAGTGGGAACTCCAGGGAATCACGCTCCCGCCGCCCCTAACTTCTCTCTCTTGTCCCGGGGCGGGAACCTCGGCTGCAACGCTTCGTCCCACCTGCTGAGCTCCCCGCCTGTGCTTGTGGTAATCCGCGCACCTAAGGCGGGTGAAGAATTGATTGTTTTACTCTAAAATATTATCACTTACGTAGGGGACATTCTTTCCACCTGCGCTCCTAAAGTAACATGTTTTGAGCAACTGCGCCACCTAGCTCACCCTCTTTCTCTCTCCCCTGCAATTCATCCCGGGATGCAACAGGATGCTGGAGAAGCCAGCGGAGAAGACTGTACCCACTGCCTCTCAATGTTTCCACGTAAGTGACTTCAAGCACCATTTACATGGCAATGGCCTTTATGGAGTAAAACTCATTTTCTGAATCCTCCCAGTCTTGGGAGGACAGATATATGAGGGCAGTTATACTCTCTTTTACATAATTTTCGGGTAAAAACCCTCTGTCACAATAAAGGAACCTCATGCCCAACTTCTAGCTGATGTTTTAGTAATGTCCACAGGGTATCGGTACATTTACCAGTTAGGTTATTCTGGCCATAAAGACTTTGGTATTTATTTTAGGTTTTAAAGTGTGGTTCCAAGACTAGCACAAAGGGGGAATTTAGTCAAAATGCAAATTCTTGGGTCCCACCCCCAGACACATAGATTCAGAAACAGTGAGGGATATGGGGGTGATGTATAGTCCAGTTTTCAGATCACGGCTCTTAATCTGCTCAAGCGGCTGGTTTAGTTACTTCCATGTAGTAAAGGCTGGGATTCTGGCATGGCAGAGGGGGCGGTATTTTGTTAACCTCACATACCAGAGCTACATAATTTGTCAGGTTGATACACTGAAAGCCCACCCTCTGATGTGTCTATATAAAGTGGGATCTGTTCTTCCTGAGGATCACATGGACCTGAGGGTCCCTGTGCAAAATACAGAAGAGAAACCTGTGGTTTCTTGAAGCATGTGGAACTGAAAACACCGTAATTCACTTAGTTTTTTAAATGTGTTTGCGTTTTCATCGGCACATAAACTGTTTCCAACTGATGAGTCATGGAAGATAGGGAAGCTAATTTGAATAGATTTGTCAATATAGTTCTAAAAAAAAGGACAAACATTTTAAGTGTGGCATTGGCTTACATTGTAACAAAAAGGCACTATATGAGGCATTTGTGGGTTCAATCGCTGGTAGGGGATGTACAGGAGGAAGTCAGTCCATGTTGCTCTCACATCAATGTTTCTCTCTTCCTCTCCCTTTATCTCTCTAAAAGTCAATTAAAAATATTTTTACAAGACAGACTGTGATCTATAGTTATTAATAAAAGTGAAAGCCAAGTGCAGAAAATATACCATTAGGAGCATTGAACTCTAGGAATCAAAAGGAATGGCCAAGAGATGAAGACAGAGAGCTGAGGCTTGATCAATAACTAGGACTGAGCTGTCAGGATGTCAGAAGGGCATTTCAGGTGAAGGAAGCTGTAGGAACAAAAACAGTCGATTATTTTGGATGAATTCAAATGCTATGTTGGGATTTCAGACTTTATTCAGTAGTCAAAAAGGAATCATTTAGGAGAATGGACTGATCGGCATGGTATTTTAGAATGACTCAGGCAGTCTGTGTCAGGTGGATTAGAGATGGATGAGACCAATGCAGAGACTATTGCAATGATCTGAGATAGAAAGTATGACTAAATGTTTTTTTGGTTTTTTTTCATGATTCCTCATGAGAACCACTAACAGGGTTGCCTAAGACCATCGGAAAACACAGATATTTACATTACGATACATTAGATCTGAGAAACACACACACACACACACACACACACACACACACACACAGCTTTTTAAAACAGGGCAGCAATGGAGGGCTTAAGTGGTGATGACTAGGAAATAATCAGGTGGTTATTTCCAAAAATAGTGTCTGGTATATAGTAAGCATGAATAATTATAATTATTATGAACACTCTCTAACGACATCTGCCCAAGTTGGGAGAAAAACAAATGCCACACAAATTTACATAGTTTATCTTTTATTCATACAAACAGTACATACACAAGACTGTATATTGTTTGAAGACTGCAATAATTTTCTAGTGTAACAACTCTGTAACAAAATTTAACTAAATGTAACATTTATGAAAATATAAATCTCTGATTGGGTAATTCTTCCCAACAATACAAAGTTTACATAAAAACATTCAATATGAGCTATCAGTGTGCAAACAAGTTAGGAAAAAAAAATCATTCAAGTCACTTGTTAAACTCTATTGGCTGTTACATGGAACATTCACACACTACAGATAATCCATCTAGGCATTTAATTCTTAGAAATGTGTGGCATGGATTCCAATGGAGAATGACAGGAATAAGATGTGTTGCCTCTGAAGTGCTAAAAAAAAAAAAAAAAAAAAAAAAAAAAAAAAAAAAAAAAAAAAAAAAAAAAAATTGCATGGCCTCCTACAGTAAATTCCAAGTGATCTGCACCTGGGCTGGGCCTTCTCTGGGTACCACCTCCCTGGGTGGTAGCTAGACCAGGAGGGGCATCCTGACAAAAGTCTTCCACTGTGGATTGTGTCTTCCTCTCTGTCTACATCTCTTTCCAACAATCGAGGTGTCACTATATTTTTTTCTTACATTACTCCCCTACATCTCTGTGAGGGCTATCGCCGATGCTACCATGATCTTTATTTTACACTTTACAAAAACAGTACAGCAGGGAGGTGAAAGATCTGTCTATGGACATGTGATGAGTTCATATGGCAGTGCAGGACCAAAGGCGAGTCAGATCCTTGCTCGTTATTCTGTCTACTCAAGTCACAGCTGCCCCTTTCAAACAAAACCAAGCCACCTCCCCTGACCCCCTTTGGAAAGTTATCCACGGACATGCCACGTGAAGAAAATCACTTTCCCCTTTTGGGATGTAATGTTTTCTTTTAAATAGGTGACGTAGTTTTTTGTGTTTTTTTTTAAAGAGAGAGTGAATACATCTAGAAAAGTCTCTGAAGAGTCCTCAAGCGGAAAGGGAGACAGATAAAGAAGCAAACACACGGAGTGTAGAGAAGTAAGAAAGCAATTACAAACAGGGACAATAAAGAGCCTTGGGACACCCCGAAGATGTATGGGATAGTTTAGCACAAAGACAGGCATCTTCCTTTTGTCCCAGAATATTAGGTCACCTCTCTGGGTTTTCCAAGGAAAGAGGAGGAGGAAGAGTAAGGCAGATGTCGTCAGTGTTTCATAGATGGCGTGTCGAGAAAGCGTTCCTTCTGTTGAGATGTATTGCAGGGATTTGGGAAATAACGTATGCTTCCATACAACTGACGGAACAGCACAGACTTCTGTTATTACGATGATAGGAACGAACAGGTGTTTGGACCAAATCCGTAATGCCCTTCCTGAAAATCTCTGCACCCAGCACACGTAGGCATTGCAAAAAGACATGAAAGATTGTGGTTTCTTAGTGAATATGTTCTTTTGCAGCCCAGGAAATAGCTTCAGACACGGTATGTCCAGTGATACAGAAACCTTGGCATACAGTTGTCGCCACTGTATTTTCACGAAGGCCGACTCTGCGGGTTCGATAGCCCTATGACCGTGGCAGGTAGCTCTCGTCCCAGTCCAGTCCATGGCCTCACCTTGCACATCCTTTCTCTTGGGAAACTGGGAGTCCGTCTGGGCATTTTCGATACACGATTTGGCACTATTGGGCCTTCCTTCTGCAGGCTGGGTTTACACAGTTGTCAGGATTGTAAAATGCAAGGAGAGATTAAGGCTGTGTGTACCGATGGCTGCACAAATCGCCTGAAGTCAAACAGCCCTGTGTGTTTGCGATGTCATCCAATTTCTATACAACTGGTGCCAGTCCGACTGATCTTCAGCCTCTCTCAGTTGGACCCATGATGTGAGTTATGTTGCTTCTTTCCCCACCGTTTTAAAAACCACCTTTCTCTCCCCAGGGGATGTCGTCATTGAAATACAATGTGTACAAATGCTCTAGGAAAGTCTCAGGACTTCCAATCCTGGGTAAACTTGACAGAAAGAACCACCCCCCAAAACCGATTTCCTGTTTCTGCACCTTTCAGGATCGTGGCAATCAGTCACACTGGGACCCCGGCCTCTTTCTCATCTGTTAAGAAAATGAGTCGTTGATCACTTGGGATACAGGAGATGCTCTGCCCACCGCTCTCTTGTGCTCTTTTATGTGTCTCTGAGGAGCAGGGAAATCCTTTCTGTCAGTTGTCAGGGCTGTAGCTGTGGCCCCTGGGCTCCAGGGCAGCGCACACCCGGTCGTAGCAAGAATTGTGTTTCTTGGAGGGCGTGGCCTCGTTGGGCTCGGCGGGCTCGCTCACCGTGATGGGGCTGTCCCTCGCAAACACCTCCGTGGACTCCCTCCACAGGCAGTCCACCGACGCCTTGAAGCAGTAGCTGCTGCACTTGGCCCTGGAGGTCTGGGTGGCCGCGTTGCTGAATATCTGCCTGCTGTTGGACGTGGCGATCTTGATCTTGAGGGCGGCGTCCACGCGGTCCACCACCGTGTAGATCCCTATGCTCCCGTCGTCGAAGCCCACCACGATGTGCAGGTGCCGCTGGGACAGGGCCAGGAAGGTGGGCGCTTTGTACAGGGAGCAGGCGCCGATGTTCTTGCCGTCGGCCAGCCTCATGACGATCAGGCTGGACACGGCGCCGTTCTCATCCTCGTCCTCCCCTCCACGGCAGCAGATGTACACCAGGTAGCGGCCGTCCCGGGACAGCCGCTGCCGCCAGATGACGCCGGAGGCGTGCACCACCCGCAGCTTGCCGCTGTGCAGGTCCAGCACGTTGATGTTCTCGTCTCCCCGGGAGAGGATGCCCAGCTTGCCGTTGGGGGAGACCTCGAAGTCCTCCAGGGTTTTCAGGAAGCCGCCGGGGAGCTGCACGCGGCGGCAGATGACCTCGTCCGTCAGGCTCCACAGGTTCACCGTCTCGGCCGACGTGACGAACACGATGAGGTCGGGGCAGTCGGGGATCAGCTTGACGCTCACGACGGTGGTGCCGTCCTCGCAGCAGAACTTCTTGGTGATGCTCCCCGTCCACAGGCTGACGGCCAGCACCTTGCTCTGGGTCATGCCCACCACGAAGGTGTTGGCGGGCGTGATGAAGGCGTCCTGCAGCGGCGTGAGGATGTTGCAGACCCGGTGGCCCGTAGCCAGCCGCCACACCCGGGACGCGTTCTCCTCGCACAGGGACACCACGAACTGGTCGTTGTGCGTGATGAGCAGCTGCGATATCCGCTGCCCGCTGATCCGGAAGAGGTTCTCCCCGCTGCCCGTGTGCCACACGTACTGGCTGCTCTTGTCGTCCGAGGTCACCATCACGTCCCCCGAGGACGTCAGCACGCAGTGCTCCACCACGCCCTCGTGCTTGAACGCCGCCTCGATGAACCCGCTGCTGAAGTTCCACTTGTGCACGCAGTCCGAGCCATCGAGGGAGTAGATGATCTCCCCTCTGGCGGGCAGCATCAGGCTCTGGATGGGCTTCCCGGTCTTGTCGATGTTGGACATGGCCGTGATGATGTCCACGTCCCAGATGGACAGCACGCCGCTGGCGGACAGGGAGAGCAGCATGTTGTGGTGGCTGGACTTCACCAGCTTCACGATGGTGCCCGAGACCTCCCGGAGGCTCGCCATGCACTGGCCCGTGTCCCGCCGCCAGAAGAACACGGCCGGGGTGTTCTCCATGGTGGCGATGATGCAGTCCCCGTTCTTGGACAGCACGGCTGACACGAAGCGCTCGTTGTGCTTCGCCCGGAACTTCTCCGCCACCTTCCACAGGCCCGTGTCCAGGAGCTCGATGCCGAGGGCTTTGCAGATCAGGACCGCGCTCTGGTCCTCCGACAGCTCCAGGCTGACCACCTCGCTGTCTTCCCGGCGGCAGTCGAAGTCGTCGGTCAGCTGGGGGCTGGCGATGTCCTCGGTGTTCCAGACGGAAAGGCTCCCCTCGCTGTCCACCATAACCATTTCCTGGGCCGTGTCCAGGATGAGGAGGAACTTCACGAAGCCGCCCGAAAACTCGGATGTCACGGTGCATAGCTTCTCTCCGCTCCCCAAGTGAAAGATGGTGGTGGTGTTGAGATACTGCCCGCAGAACGCATACGTCCCGTCCAGGGAGCACCGGACACACGTCACTTCGTACCAGCAGTGGAACTGGTAGAGGGGCCACCCGTAGAGCAGGTCGATGACGGTGACGTCTTTGCTGGCCTCCAGCCAAGCCAGGGCGTGGTTGACGGACAGCGTGAACCCGTTGATGTAGGTGGAGCCGCTGCCATGCTTGGTCCCCTTGATCTCCACTTCGGACAGGAGGCAGGAATTGATGTTGTCATAAATCAACAAGGTGTTATTGGTCGTGGCCACCACCAGGTACTTCTCGTCGCTGCTGAGTTTCATGCCCAGGATGACGGACTGGGCCGTGGTGATTTGCCTGAGAAGCTGGCGCGTCTCCACATCCCAGGTGCTGATGGAGCCGCTCTCCAGGGCCATGAGGACAGTCCTGGGGTTGCAAGTAGGCAGGATCTCGGTGACGTGCAGGTGACTGGCCGCCAAGGGGAGACGCTCAGGGCTGTAGGTCACGTCCATGGAGGAGTGGAGCGGCACGATGGAGCAGTATTTGGGCCCGTCCTTGTCACATTCCAGGAGGAGGTGTCTCAGCTTGGGCAGGGAGCTGAGGACCGGCAGCAGCCGTTGCTGGAGCTCTGCCGAAAGGGAGCCGGGAAAGGCGATGACCTTGCTCCGGAGGCTGCGGAGGGTGTTGGCCAGGAACTTCATCTCCTTCTCCTGCGAGTAGTTGTAAGCCAGCTCGATGTCCGCGAGCACTTTGTCAAACTGGCCGATTTTGATCATGGTGTACAGCCAGCTGAAGTTCATGATGATGCCGTACAGCAGGTCATCGGTCTTCCCGCACCTGGTCAGGTGGTACAAGAGCTCGGACATCTTCCGGTGGTTGACGAAGAAGATGTCGGGCTCCAGGGGGTTGCACTGGAAAACCCAGGGCTGCTCCGGGGCCTGCCTGTCGAACGAAGCCTGCTCCATGAAGTGCTTTTCTTCCTCTAGCAGGCTTCTGCTCTCCAAGTCCAGGCAGCCGTTCAAGTAGGGGTCTTCGAGGCCAAAGGCTTTCCTCCTGCCCCCCGACCACACCCCCAGGAAATAGTCCGCCAGGATGGTGTGCATTTCGCGCAGGTGATTGTCTTCCTTCAGGTACAGCTTCTGGGCTATGAGCTGCAGGTGCCTGTTGGCCCACACCAGGAGCGTGACGTTCTTCACGTGCCTTTCTATTAGGTATCCACTGAGACCCTCCTTGAGCCTCGCGATGTACAGGTAAGGGACTCTCAGGGGGTTGCTGGGCCTGGTGTGCTCATTGAGCTCGTTCATGACGCTGTTGTCCAGGGCCAGCACGTCCTCCAGTTCCATCTCACTCAGGCCCATCTTGGCCATGGTGATGTAACCGAGAGCCCTGGAGACCAGCTTCTGACCACACTTCCTCTCCAAGGACCAGAAGAGCTGCTCTATGCTCTCGTGAACGGTGACGCAGAGGGAGGATTCGTCGACATCTTTGTGGGACCTCCAGTGCCTCACCTCCCGGAAGGTCAGGTTCACGAACATGGGCAGCGTGCACTTGGAGAACGCGTTGTTCACGTAAATCTGCTGGCCCGAGGTGACCTTCCTTTTGACTCGCAGCAGCTGGTGCTTGAGGACCTGGCTGCACATCTTCCTGTCCCGGGGAATCAACTCGATGTAGTTGTTTTCCTCGTGGATAAGGCACCTTAGTTTCTGCAGGATCCCGTGTTTGTTGGGCAGTGTGGAGAGGACCACCCGCACGAAGCGGGGAAGGTGAGCAGGGAGCCACCACAGCTTCCTGGCCTCGTCGCTCTCTGAGAGCTGCTCTAGGGCGTCGAATATTATTACCAGAGGCCTCTGCTGGGAAGACTCATTCAAGAGGTTTATGAATAAGTCATGGACATCATGAATCTTCTTAGGGTAGTTTTGAACCAGACACCGGTAGTTCACTGCCAGCTGTTCGCAAACACTCAGGAGGAGCGTTCTGAGGTCAGTACTCATGTCTGTGCTTCCTAGGAATCGCACGACTGTTACTGGGTCTGATTCTGGTCCTGCGTGTTCCTGTAGCCAGCCATAAGCCTAAAACATAAAGGTGGCGTTTAGCATGGTAATATATAGTCACGTGCTCATGTACTGCAACATCTCTTCTCGTGAGCGGTCAGACTTCTGGGAACCCCAGGCCATGCAGAAAGTCACCTAGGACCAGGAAATGGGAGAACCTTCTGAGAAGGCCAAAGAGTTGTCACAAAGCTCACGCCCTAAAATCTATAGGTGAGTCTCACAGGATCACTCATCTGAAGGTAATAAAATAGTGAGTAGTAATATTTCAACCAAAGGCAACATTCAGCTTGTAGTCTAAAAGTTACAATGTGGTCCATAAACAGTAAATCTGAATATCTAGTATGGTCATGACATTTAAAAATGTGAATCCCATTTCTGGGCAAAGTTGTTGGTGCATAGTAGATACCTAGTAAAGTGTTTAATGAGTAGCTTACACAATAATTTATGCTATATCAAATAAAATCTTTTCATTAATTAGATCACATAATATCATATATGGCTGAACAAATTTCCAGTTAATTAAAATGCAATAAAAAAATAGTACTGCCCTAACTGGTTTGCTCAGTTGATAGAGCATTGGCCTGCAGACTCAAGGGTCCCAGATTCCATTCCAATCAAGAGCATGAACCTTGTTTGCAGGCACATTCCCAGTGGCGGCAGGGGGGGGGGGGGGGGGAGGAGGAATGCAGGAGGCAGCTGATTGATGTCTCTCTCTCATCGATGTTTCTAACTTTTTATCCCTCTACCTTCCTCTTTGTAAAAAAAAAAAAAAAAAAAAAAATCAATAAAATATATTTAAAAAATGGTACTAAAATGACACTGAATAAAATTTTTTATGCTTTAGAGACATTTTACCATGTTGTGATGCTATAGGGTCATCATGATTATTACTTATCATGAAAATCTGATTAAAAGGGTTTTGCTATATTTATGCTTTATAATAATTTACTTTATAAACAGGAACTCATCATTCTCAACTGAGGTCAAGGCTGGAGAAATTACTTGCTTGAATTTAAATGGTTATCAGCAGACAAAGTTGGAGAAGTTAATTTGACTTTCATTCTAGTCATTCTCTCTCTCTCTCTCTCTCTCTCTCTCTCTCTCTCTCTCTGTCTCTGTCTGTCTCTCTCTCTCTCTCTCTCTTATTTGCTGGGCTATGGAGAGGATCTTTGTAGAAAGATACTATATATAAGTGTGTTGTTGACTATCTAGGAGCCAAGGAAGTGACAAGCTAGGAAAACATTTCTCTGAGAGATGCTTAGCCAGGACAAGGGTCGTGGGAGGGCAGGGCCTCCAGGAAGCCAGGAGAAGGCCTCAGAAGAGGCAGGAAGCAGCTCTCAACACCTGCCAAGACCAGAGGGTGCAGAGCCCAGTTCAGAGCAGCAGTGGTCATGCCAGAACTTTCTGGCCACCTTACCTTTCCTACATCCCCTCTGCCGCAACCCTGTAGGGGTCCTAAAGGTGGTTGTGTCTGGTATTAGGGAAGGAGGGGAAGAAGTGCTGTGCGGAGAAAGAAAGGAGCCCTGGCCGGTGTGGTTCCGTTGGTTGGGCATCATCTTGTGTACCGAAAGTTTGTGGGTTCAATTCCCGGTCAGAGCGTAAGCACATGTCGTGGGCCCAATCTGTTTTTCTCTCTCCCTCTTTCTTCTTCTTCCTCTCCCTACCCTCCCTTCTCTGAAAATCAATATAAATATTTTTTTTTTTAAAAGAAAGAAAAGATGGCCACACCCCTGCCTACCACTGTAGATACTTTGCTTATGGTAAGCCTCAGCTGGGGGAGAGAAATGTAGACTGAAAATTTAATTATCATCTTAGACTGGAAATACTCGTTGCGGAATGGAGACTGATTTCATGTCCAGAAGCAGCTGGAGTGTGTGTCTCTGCTGAGGGGTGCGGAGAGCTGTGAGGTGCGCGCTAATTTCCATTCCAGTGGAGGCCAGCCCCACAGCCTGAGCCTGAACAGCGGGGAGGAAAACATCAGGCTGCCCTGTAATCGCACCCATGGGTCTTCCTCTTCCAATTCACCTGTTAGACCAGCAAAAGGGAAACATCGACATGCCATCCAAAAAGATTAATTATAACCCAGATAGGAAACACAGATAGGAAACACAGAAGATGGAAATGAATATGGTCAATTTAATGTTCCCGAAAGTAAGATTTTTTTATGAACATGCACGTAAAAGAATAGGCTTTTACCTTCTTCGCCACCTCGGCTAGCAGGAGCGTCTTCCCCGTGCATGGTCCACCATATACAACAAGCGGGTTGATGTGCCCGGTTTTGCTTGGGAGGATGTATTTATGGACTCTGGTTAGGGATTCGCACTTGTACTCGTAGAAAGAGGCATACGTTTTACAGAGCGAGGAATGCTGGAGGATTTCGTCGTAGAGTGTATCAGTCTCTGTGTCAAAGTTCTGCTGCACCGTCGCCTGAATTATGTCGATCATGTCCTCGTAAAATTGTTTGCCAAGGCCTTCTATGTAGTGGTTTTCTATTTCCTGAGAGTAGCCGAGTTTCATGTCACAATGGGTAACCGACGTGTATACTCTGAGATTAGAGGACGCAACAATCGTAGGAATAAATTCATCCCTGAGTTTGATCAGCTTCTCCTGGGCCTCTGGGTCCCGGATGATCCTCGGGTCTGTCCCAGTGATATCCATGTATTTCCCCATCTCTGGGATCTTCACGAATCGCTCAATGTTAGCAATTTTCCTAATGTAGCAGACGCACTTCTTCAGGAAGGCGGGAGTCTGCTTGCCTAGAGCGAAGTCAAACTCATCCTCTATAGCTGAAAGCAAACAAAATCAGCTTATTGTAGAAACAAAGAAGCAAGAGACTGTCCGCCCAGCTCTTCACTCTCCAGTCCTAGAGGTAGATTATTCTATAGAATCATTTCTTCACTCCTTCATTTCCTATTTGTGTTTCCTACATAGCCTGGAACCCAGAACAAAGGGTTTTAAAAACAATTCTTTCTTTCTCTCCCCAGTAGCAAGGAGAGGTTGAACATAAACATAAGAAAGAAAGCGTACCCAGTTTATATTTTAGGTTATTCCTTACTTAGCTTTTCTTTCAGACCTCAGGGGTCTAAGAGTGAACAGGGACCCACTGGGACCAGGAAAGAATGAGGTAGAGGCCAAAGGACAGATCCAGTTTCCTGCTTCCTGGTCAGTCTCCCCTTTACATGTAGCTTCACCGTTTTGTTTGAGGTGCATTGTATCCCAAACAGTTATGGTTAAATATCAATATAAAAAAACATGTTTAAACTACAATCCTGTTCTGATTATTGATCAATCTGAATTATCCATGTCTATCAGGTTAAACCACATTTTATTTATCAGGTCAGATATAGAAAAATGACTTAGTATGTAACTTTATTTCTTCTAAGCTAACTTATAGAACACATGCTTACATAAATGTAAATATACATTATAAATCACTCAAGCCTCCGCAGGAACATTTAAAATTAGGTCCATCATAAGAAAAACGTCACTTGTGCATTATTTTAGGGAAGAAAAATAAAAATGAATAAAATAAAATGCATTTTAAGGCATGCAGTCTTTTTAAACCGCCCATCTGCCCTCACTTCCTTCTTTCTCCTCTCCCTCCCCCTTTGGGATCCTTCATCCAGTTGGTCTTACAGAGCACCTACTATGTGCCAGGCATGCTGCTGGCTGCTCAGAATGCAATGGGGAGACAACAGACAATGGTGAGAGGAAAAACCTGTATGGAGCTCTCAGTCCAGGGGAGGATGGCAGACACAAACCACAGAGCACTCTAATAGATGTATTATGATGGTTTCAGTCCCAGGAAGGAGAATAACATGGTGCAGTGACATAAAACAATCGGGGGTAGGGAGGAGGGTGATCCTAATCCTCTTGGAGGTAAGTACTGAGGTGGAGTCTGATGAGAGCATGGGGTGAGTGGGTGGTGCTCAGAATACACAGGGCTGATCATAAGAGGAAAACATTGCCATGTGCTGTCCACAGCTCCAACATCAAGTGAAACCTAAAACATACTTGTATTCTATACAGTGACATCCAAAATAGTCTTTTTTATAATAAGGAATGTGGAGATTTTATTTTAAAATGATGCCTTTTACTGGGACTCCCGTAATATTATTTCTTCAGTGATGATAGTGATTGATCAAAATTTTTGACTTAAGAAGATGTATTTGTAAGAAGATATATTTATAGCCAGTGTTGAGTGAGCTGTGTCATTTGCATCAGCATGTTTTACTAAGGGTTTTAATCAGACAACTCGATTAAGGAGGCCAGTCTAGTCTTCTTTTTATGGAAGAACAGGGACTCCTGATAGTGCAGACTAGGAAAGATTCAAGAAATATTGACTTTTGGAGCTCCTTTGGCCCACATCCTTTCCAGGCATCTGTGTAAAATGCCAGGGGCCACGCTGGATTGCCTGGGTGCTGCGTTCTCATGAAGAGAGACAAGTGGCTAAACCATAATCTCTACACATAATGAATGATAACCAGGACATGCCCTGCTTCCTCTGACTCCTGAGAACAAGTCAACTGTAACCTAACTAATGGCTATCACTCTATGGATAAGAGTATATTCCAGGGTCAACTGTAGTATATTGTATATTTTCAGAAATCTTGAAAATACAAATAGAAGTCAGGAGTGTTGATAATAAATGCAGCATAGAAAGATATAAAGACAAAGCAAGTTGGTAAAGTCCACGTAAGCTGGGCTCAAAGGGAAAAAGACAGACTGTACATAAGAGTGCCTGGTTGATGGTCTAAACCTAGTAAATACACTGAGTGGCCAGATTATTATGCATTCAGAGATCATAATAATCTGACCACTCAGTATAAACCTGAATAAAAGAGCCATCAAAGATGAAGTCAATTCCAGAGTTATTTTTAGAAGCAAAGTGCATCATCATGATTTCAGGGGATTTTATGAGTAATTTCTGATATTTACTTGTCTATAAATATTATAAACGTCCCCTTTCTTTACTATGCAGTATTTGTTTTCTCTCCTTGCATTTTTCTTAATATCCAAAAATTGAACCAGTTACAGCACCTGATACAGGACACATTAGGAGGATAGTCCCAGCCCTGGTAACTAGCATTCATGAGGCATTAATCTCTGTACTCTCCCCTCAGTTTTGACTGTAGAGTACCATTTTGAAGTCTTTATTCTTTTTCTCTCCTGTTATATAAAAATGGAAAGCTTTCAGTTTCTAGTTAGTATTCATAGTTTCAAGATTTTTGAAAATATAAAATACTACAGCACCAGTGCATGAATTTTTGCATGGGTGGGGTCCCTTGGCCTGGTCAGTGATTGGGGCATCTTGCCCAGTCCCAATTGGGGCCATCAGGGCCAGCCATCGGGAGTGGAAGTAGGGGCCCCGGGAGGTTGGAGGTTGACCAGCCAGCAGGGGATAGGGGGAAGGGTGATTGGGGCTGACAGGGGCAGGGGCCTCGGAGGTTGGCCAGGGGCCGTGGAGGTTGGCCAGCAGTGGGAGGTTGGCTGTGGGAGCGCACTGACCACCAGGGGACTGCTCCTGCATTGAGTGTATGTCCCCTGATGGTCAGTGTGGGTCATAGTGGCTGGTTGACCTGTTGTTCTGGTCGTTCGATTGTAATGGTCACTTAGGTTTTTATATATAGATAGGTACTACAGTTGACCCTTGAACAACATGGGTTTGAGCTGTGCAGATCCACCATATGTGGAATTTTTTCAGTAAATATGTACAGTACTGTAAATGTATTTTCTCATTCTTATTATTTTATTAGTATTTTTTTCCTCAAGGTTAATTTTTGTGTGAGAATACAGTATATAATACATACACAAAATATGGGTTAATTGAGTGTTTATGTTATTGGTAAAGCTTCCAGTCAACAGTAGGCTATCAGGATTTAAATTTGGGGGATGTCAGATTATGTGTGGATATTTGACTGCACAGGGGGGTTGGCACCCCTAACCCACACATTGTTCAAGGGTTATTTGTACATCCATTTCAAAGAGTTTTTGAATTTTCATTTTGCAGATATGGTCTTAAAATGAGTTTGAAATGTACAATAAATAATACTGTTCTGAGCGTGTATATCTGTAAGCAATGTAACCCCATGCAGAAAACAGACGACTTGTAGTAGTTCGTACTAAATACATAGTATGAAATTACTTATCTTCCTAAATGTCTTTGTGAACTGAGTTCTATAGTGTGGAGAAAATGAGAAGGAAGTGTTTGGCGATGAAATATCCGAACCCTTGAGCTGTATGATTCTGCAGAGAGGATGCCTTCCCCAAACTGATGCCTCTTGCCAAGAACAGGAGAGCTTTTGCTGTGGGCATTATTTTTCCTAACACAGCACGCTTTTAAAACAGGGTGGCTTTTCCTTTGATAAAGATGATATCCAGAGCCTCAAATATGGATCAACAAGATCCCAAAGGAACAGGGATGTTTGTCCATCACCTGTGTATTCGGAAGACACCACTCATTCCTGCCAATTTTAGTGTTTTCAGGAAGATTTAAAATTTTTGACAGCTTGCAGAGAATGACTTGGTCAGAATTATTTATAATTTCTCTGAGCTGGAATCCATGTATCCAGGGAGAATAGTATCAAGTGCTGTTTAGGGTTTCACAAATGCTTTGCTATCATTCTCTAAACCTATCTGAAAATGCAACTACGGTTGTTTTTTTCTTCAGTAATTCTTTACTATCAACTTTCAAAATAAATGCTACATTGTTGGCTCTGATTCCTTCTGTCATTCAGCTTAAACATCATTTCCTTATTTCCCACTCCATCTACATCTGAACCCACTCATCCTACACCAGGCCCTATTAGCCTATTACTATTATGTTCTATACAAATTACTTGTCCTTTCTGAAATGATCTCGTTCATTTATTTGATTACTTGCCTATCTTTAAACCCTCCCCCCCCCTCCACACACACACACACACTAAAAAAATAAGTTCTGGGAGAGCAGAGACCTTGCCTTCTATTCATGATTGTATCCCTGGTGCCTGGAATATAGTATACACTCAACGAATGCTTACTAGATGGGCAAGTGAATAAATGAATGAATGAATGAATGAATGAACAGTTTAACTGGCTGGGTCTGGTCTATTATATCCAGCGTGCTCTGACTTCTTTCAAAAAGTACATTTTCTGGAGAAGTCCTCAAGTGAAGTAAAGGCTTGTCGATGAGTTAAAAAACAAAAGAACATTTGTCTCTCCAGGAGATGGAGACATTTAGAAAAATTAAACTTTGCCAGGTAGTGAGTAAAATTTAATTTGCCGAGCCATGAAAGGGAATCAGTGAATGCGTCTATTATCTATCTGTTCCTTAGTGCACTGAGGACCTACAAAAATTACCTGAGAACAGGTACCTCTTAGCTTGGCTGTGCTTCATTTTCCCCTGCTCGTGTAACAGTTTCACAGAAGCCTTAAATATCTTTTTGATCTCATCTGATATCTCTTGCCAGGTCTTCTCATTCTCCGCATGGGCAGAAGGCTGCATCTATGGAAATATGAAAGTGAGATACGTCTTAAAACCATAAAAGAAACACGGTATTTAAGAGCAAAAGGACTATTATTATTTGAAGGTTTCTGTGTGCCAATACTATGATAGAAAATTAACAGACAGTATCTCACTTGATACTCCCACTAACTCCAAAAGTTATAAATTGCTTCCATGTTGTATGTGAACTTGCCCAAGTTACACAAGGGTGTGAATCCAAACAGGATGTATTTGCTGGGCTTTCGTATTATACCATGTCGTTCCTTCTTGGTTTTTGATACAAATGTCATAACAAAATCATATCTTTAATATTTTCTAAAGAGGAAGTAAAGTTAAAGGGGAAGTGCTCATATGTTATAATTTAATTGTTTTAATTGTTTCTTCTTCATTTGTTTTTCTGATCTTCTAGGAAATAAAACAGGAAGATTGCCTACCAAGAAAGTAACATTCATATATTCATTCATTAAATATTTTTGTCCAAAGAGTTTATTCGAATGGAATTTTCACAAATCCTGGAATATTTTCCCAAAATGGAAAGTAAAGGTAAATATTATAGACACTGTATGGTGAATCCATGTTGGGGCTCAATACTAGTAAAATCAGTTTTTGCAATGAAAGAATAAGCTGTCACTCCTGTCTTGAAGTTCAAAGTGTATGGCTCCACCTAAGATAATCCCACCTTTGATGCTTCCTCCAACCACACTTTCTCTCTATTTTGTGTAACAGTTTAGAGGACTTTTAGTGGATCATTGTAGACCCTCCCTGGCTCCAGAGAGGTAGCTCAATACACAACAACATTCTGTGTGTTCCCACTCATCCTTTCAAAGCCATTAGCCAATTTCTTTTTCCTGCCTGCTCCTCCAAAGTATTTAAAATGTTTTATGTTGCTCTAGCCCAGGGGTCGGCAACCTGTGGCTCCGGAGCCGCTTGCGGCTCTTTTGAACCTTTGCTGCGGCTCCCAGCAGGGCTGACAGCAGGGGGCGGGCGGGGAGCTGTATCACTTACCTCTAATACTAATTTTTGTTGTTGGTTAAGCATGGGAGACAGGTCCTTTTGTAAGATGTACACTGTAGGAAATTTGTGGCTATTATATAAAATTTTTTAAATAAATAAATAAATTAAATTATCATTTACATTTTTAAATTTAATTTACTTAATTTAATTTACAGAATATTGGGGGGCCTGATGAATTATTTTTATGGCATGCATGGCTCACTAATTAATTTACAAAATATTGGGGGCCTGATGAATTGTTTTTTTTTTTAAAAAGTGACTTGTTGAGGCAGGCACAGGGGCGGGGTGGGGAGGGAGCAGCCGCGCTCACGGGCGCTCTCTTTCGGTTTGCTCCGGAGGCGCGGACCCCCCCACGCTGAGGAGCTTCTCCTCCCTCATGCCGCCTCCCCCCTCCCCCGCCCGTCCTGGTCCCGGCCCCGCACGGGGCTGAGGGGATGCCCGCCAGCATGTGCAGTGCTGCCGGTGGCTCCAGACCCCGCTGCCCCTGTCGTCTTCCCGGAGCTGCACGGGGACTTGCTCGCCAGCGCCTTCGGCAGTGCCGCCTCCTCCCCGCACTACGGCCAAACAAGGGGTGAGGATATCTGTAAGGCTGTCCTGGACTATTTAAGTGCCGAAAAAATAAACACCAACCACCTGGTCTCAGTGGCTACTGATGGGGCACCGAGCATGAGAGGAGCACAGAAGGGCTTTGTGGCTCTACTGCAGAAGGCTCTGGGTAGAACGCTGCTCTCATTTCATTGCATCCTGCACCAAGAGGCATTGTGTGCTCAAACATTTCCCCCAGAATGCACAAAAGTGATGGATGTGGTCATTCAGATTGTTAATAAGATAATGGCAGAGGGTTAAACCACTGCCAGTTCCGTTTGCTATTGGATGAGGTGGAAAGCATATATTCTGACCTCCTGCTCCACAACAAGGTCCGGTGGCTGTCCAGAGGCGAGGTGCTAAAACGCTTTGTCACATCTTTGGAAGAAGTAAAAACTTTTCTGGCCAGCAAAGAGTTCACCTTTCCTGAGCTGGAACAACCAGAGTGGCTGGAAAAATTACATTTTATGGTAGACATGACAGCACATCTAAACACACTAAATACAACCCTTCAGGGGAAAGGAGGCACAGCCCTGCACATGCTGGAGGAGGTTTTGGCATTCAAGCGCAAGCTGACAGTGTTTGTCAAAGATTTACAGAGAGGTACACTGTCTCACTTTCCCTCTTAGAGAGAGTTCAAACAAAGTCATGATATGATAAATTTGTAATATTTGAAGTCTGCAATCACCACAATGCAAAGTTTGTTTGGGAAACGATTCTGTGAGTTCAGAGAGGAAAAAACCACATTATCCTTCCCTGTCACTCCCCTGGCAATCGATCCATTCCTATTGAATATGACTACATTTGCAGGTGTAAGTCAACCTGATCTTGAGATGGAAAGAGAGCGAAAGAGAGCGCCAATATAGCCGACAAAGATATATGGGTGTCCAAGTTCAAATGCTTGGCCGCTACTCTTGAGGATGTTGCCCGTCAGAAGGCCATTCTGGCTCAGAATCATAAATGGAGTGATATTGAAAACCTTCCCAAACAGGACAAACTTGTGTTCGAAACATGGAATGCCATCCCCAACACTTATATAAACATGAAAAAGTATGCATTTGGAGTCCTGTCGATCTTCGGCTCCACATATGTATGTGAGCAGGTCTTCTCCAACATGAACTATATTAAAAACAAACATCGATCACGCCTCACAGATGACAACTTGCAAGCCTGTGTGAAAATGAAGGTAACGTCTTACAGCCCTGATGTGCAGACACTGTGCACTGAGGTTCAGGAGCAAAAATCCCATTAACCAGGTAAATTAAATATTTTAATTAGCTATTAATTTGCAAAAATATATTTTACATTGTTAAGTGGAAAAGTCCTTGTTTTCTTCAGATTGACAGCTAACTGCACGATCCGGTATATAGCATTAAGGTAAGAAACAATATATGCAGTGTTATATTTGTTTTAAATGTCACAATGGTTTTTCGGCTCCCAGGTTTTTTTTTTCCTTCGAAAATGGGTCCAAGTGGCTCTTTATGTCTTAAAGGTTGCTGACCCCTGCTCTAGCCGGTTTTGGGCAGTAGTTGGAGTGTTAGCCCACAAACTGAAGGACCCCATACCCAATTCTGGTCAAGGGCACATATTTTGGTTGCAGGCTCGATCTCCATGTCCCTGTGGTGTGTGTGGGAGGCAACCAATTGATGTATCTCTGTAATATCAATATTTCTCTGTCTCTCCCTCTTCCTTCCACTCTCTCTAAAAATCAGTGGAAAAATATCCTTGAGTGAGGGTTGACAAAAACAAAAAGTTTTATGTCTACAATCATTTGACAATAATTATGAACAGTAATAAACCTAAAATTTGGGTGAGTGGCATGTTAGATATTTTAAGATGCGTGTTACACAACTTATGTGATAAATTCAGGCCAACATTTTAAGTAGATGACTTAATACTATTTTTGTAGAAAACTAAATTCACACTGATAATCAGAAATGTTCCCAGATAGGCAATTCAAAGGTAACACAGCTGCAAATTGGAATATTAGTTTGACACACACAAATACACAAAAGCCTTATTTTCATATTGAACAACCATTTATGCAGAAATAGCATGTGTGGTTTAGAGAATAATTTAAATTTCTCCAGAGGATCATAGAATTAAATGAAGAAGAAATAACTAAAACCTGCGAAACAGCACCACATGAGCAACTGCTCCCAAATCACCGTGGGGACCTGGTTTCCCAAGGGATCATGTGTTTAGACAGCTATTGGGTCGGCAACTAAGTAATTGCGGGTTTCACACATATATGGCTTCAGTTGAATTTTTAGGTTTGCAGACGTAGTACAAATGTAAAACACATTTCGTTTTTTTGATAGTTGGCTATTCAGCTGTTAATCAGTAAAAAAAGTTTTTTGATCTGTTTTGTAGTTTTCGTTTGGCGTTCGTTGAAAAATGGAAAATCAAAAGGAACATTTTCGTCATATTTTGCTTTTTTATTTCCGCAAAGGGAAAAACGCATCGCAAGCTCATAAAAAGTTATGTGCTGTTTATGGTGACGAAGCCTTAAAAGAACGGCAGTGTCAAAATTGGTTTGCCAAATTTCGTTCTGGTGATTTTTCACTCAAAGATGAAAAACGCTCTGGTCGTCCAGTTGAAGTTGATGACGCCCTAATCAAAGCAATAATCAATTCGGACTGTCATAGTACAACACGTGAGATTGCAGAGAAGCTTCATGTATCACATACATGCATTGAAAATCACTTAAAACAACTTGGCTATGTTCAAAAACTCGATACATGGGTTCCTCACGAACTGAAAGAATCACAGTTAACGCAACGCATTAGCAGCTGCGATTTGCTAAAGAAACGTAATGAAAATGATCCATTTTTAAAACGACTGATAACTGGCGATGAAAAATGGGTTGTTTACAACAATATCAAGTGGAAAAGATCATGGAGCAGGCCAGGTGAACCAACTCAAACAACATCAAAAGCTGATATTCATCAAAAGAAGGTTTTGTTATCAGTTTGGTGGGATTACAAAGGAATTGTCTACTTTGAACTCTTACCACCCAACCGAACGATCAATTCTGATGTCTACATTGAACAACTAACGAAATACATTGACTAGCTACTACCTTTACTCTGGGCTCATTTAACTGGGAAATCATTTGGGTTTACCGTAGTATTTCTCTGAAATATGCTTGCAGATAATTACTTTGAAAAAATGCATGTGAGGGAGAAGAAATAAAATCAAGGATTCTGACCTTATTTCCTATTGCATGGAGAAAACGCTTTAGGTTAAATACCATAACAATAAATATGCAAGGTCCCAAAATGAAGTACTGTCACCAATTCAGTGCTCTCCTGCTCTTAGAGCTGCCTGGGGCTAAATGTAAATGTTCCAGCCTGTCTTCTTTTGTCTTCTTTAGAAGAGGGATGGAATCTGTGCCTTCTTACCAGTCTCTCCTGCAATGCAGAGACCCACCCATCCCCCCCCCCCCCCCCCTGCTCCTTCATTCAGATTTAGGAGAAACGTCTTGGATACAATTAGGAGGAATCAAGTTGGAGAGGGGACAGCGATGTTTCCATCACACTCATGTGTGAATCAATCCTTTTTCAAGATGCTTAAGATTTCAGAACATAAAGTAAATTTATGTAAAACGTTAAAGGAAAATATTGAATTAAAAAATAGGAAACTATAAAAATACATTTAAAAATACCATCCCAGCAATCAATCAAACAAACAAACAAAATAAATAAATAAAAAACAAAAAACATCCTTTCACAAAATTAAAAAGTACAACTGTTGAACTTGAAAACTCACTGTATGGACAGAGTGAATACAGCTGAAGAAAAAAATACACGAACTGGAAGAAAGATCTAAAATAATCTTCTGGAAAGAAGCAGAGAGGTAAGAAAATTGATAATGTGAAAGAGGATTAAGAGACATGGAAGACAGACTGAGATGGTCTAATGTCCATCTAATAAAAGAACAAAAAGGAAAGAAAAGAGGAAATAGAGGAAAGATTATTTGATGAAATGATGGCTGAGAACTTTCCACAAATGATAGAATACATGAATTTACAAACATAAGAAGCATGACACATATTAATCAGAATAAATAGGCATATAGCAAAATGGGAAAAATAAGAATATTTTCAGAGAAACAAACACTGAGAAAATGTATCTCTTAGTTGATCTTTATTAGTGAAACTTCCAAAAGCTATACTTCAGGAAGAAGGAAGTGACCCCAGAAGGAAAGCCTAAGCTGCTAAAGAGAAAAGCGAGTCAAAAATGGAAAGGTTTCTGCCCTGGCCGGGTGGCTCAGTTGATTGGGGTGTCATCCAGTTCACCGAAAGGTTGCAGGTTTGATTCCCAATCAGGTCACACCCCTAGGTTGTGGGTTTGACTCCTGGTTGGGGAGCAAACAGGAAGCAACAGATCGATGTGTCTCATCTCTCTCTCTCTCTCTCTCTCTTTCTCTCTCTCTCTTTCTCAAATCAATAAACTATCCTTACATGATGATAAAAAAAAATTAGAAGGTTTCTTAGCTTTGGATTTTGTTGTTAAAAGGAAATTTAAGGCTCAACACAGAATGACATTGAGTCCACCACTCCTGGGTGACACAAGCAGTTTAAAGCAAGGGCAACTTACTGCATTTTTATTGCCTTTCAGCATTTCTGACTTGGGTCTGAGGTAATAAGCTGCTGGCACCGAGTTCTCATCTCGACAGTACCACTCTTCCAGTAACTTGGTCTCCAGCTTCGCCTCTATGGCAGCGTCCAAAATCATTTCAAACTCGGAGGCCTCCACTTCTCCGGGGATCCGGATGTTCCCATATTTTTCCCCTAATAGTCCCTGTGTATCAACAAGAAAGTTCAGGTTAGTGTGTCATCAAGAAAGTTCATGTTAGTATTCATATCATGAAGTCACTCAATAAATATGACAAAGAGGTTACAATGAATATTGTGCCACCAGTTTTCTTGTTTAATGGCAATGGCTACTTCCCCTGCACCCCCTCCCCAGGAATTATTTAATAAGTAAAATTAGATGAACTACATTGTAATTATAATAAGTTCTTCACATACTGAGAAATGAGATTGCATATCATTTTAGACATTCAAACTACAGAATTTTGTAGTAAATTTATTTTCCCGAAGTTTATATAATACAACAAAAGTTGTTCCATTCTTAAGACTTTTTTGGTTTGTTTACGATACAGAAAAAATGACATACTGGATCCTGAAATATCGAAAAAATATAAGCTCTCAAACAAAATAAGTGCTTTTCAAAAGTTAATAGTACAATTAAAAAAAATAAAGAGGAAGGGAGGAGAGATAGAAACATCAATGATGAGAGAATCATTGATCGGCTGCCTCCTGCACACTCTCTACTGGTGATTAAACCCACAATCCGGGCATGTGCCCTGACCAGGAATCCAACCATGACATCCTGGTTCATAGGTGGATGCTCAACCACTGAGCCATGCCAGCCGGGCAGTTGTATGATTTTTAAGCCCCAGATGTACCCAGCTATAAATGAAAGAAGTATGACATCATTGAATGTGATGCTGCTAACAGCCTCACTGGTAACTGAAAACAATTCAAAATATGAGCAAGATATCATTTTCTTACTATTAAATTGGCAACAGAAAACATGCTCAGTTTTATGCGAGGGTGTGGGAAAATACCCACATGGTGCTGATGGCTGTGAAAATTGATCCGACACTTCTTTGGAAGTTATTCTGGCAATATGTATTAAAAGCCTTAAAAAATATATAAAACTTTTGAGTTTGCAATTTTTCTTCTGGGAATTAGCCTTTAGGAAATAATGAAGAATGTACTAAAGATTTAACAGAATATGTCTGCTGAGCCTGTTTTTTCAGTAAAGAGCTGGTATAACAACCTAAGTGCCCGGCAAAGGGGGGCATTGCCATATTTTATGATATCTTTATTCGAAGGATGTATCAATTTCATTCTAGAACTCTATGAACATAGAGTTTATAACATAGAAGGGTGTTTATAATATACTCCGAGTGCAAAGGTAAATTACAAAACAGTAAGTATTAAATGATTCCAATGTCTCCTTTTGCAAGGAACTTGAATGGAGGAACTCTACATTGGTCTCTGTTATTTCATACAGTCAAGGAGGGCTCAGAGAGGGCTCTTTTGAGATAAGGGTGTTCTAACTCCAACTCAGTGTATCAGCCCAAAGGCCAAGGAAAAACATTTTTATTTTAATCTGCATTTGATTCAGACCAAGTGAGCATGATTCTTTAAGGGTAGCCAGCCTAGTGATTATCCTATTACCCTGGGCTAATTCTGAATAAATTCAGTCAGCATCTGCAGCCAGGGCTGACTGTCATCAGGAGTGAGGCATTAGTGCTGGGATAAGGCATCCAGCAAAGCCACATGGGCACAGTAGGGGAAAGGAAGACTGTAAATAGTAGCCACAGGAGGAATCCAAAAAGCATGCAGGCGGAGCTTGGCCATGGCTGGAGGACCTGGTGGGCAGGCAGAACATTAAATAGGGGACTTAGTAATGGACAGTACTCCACCTCCAGGAAGATCATGGACTCAGCTATCGACATCCTAGCCTGGATCCTGGACTTGAAGTGGAAAGATCACAAAACTGACTAATCAAACAAGATCATGCCCCAGGGCAGGAGTGGCATTACTGCACTAGCAATTTACAGATGGTTGGTTCTTCATCTTCTCTTTGCCCTAACTAAGGCTGGTCTCAGAGGCGAGGGCAGGGTCAACTATGGATTATTTTCCAAAATATGTTTGACGGATTACCTGCACCTGGATTACCCAGAGGGCTTGTTAAAATATAGTTTACCAGATCTCTTTTTAGACCTAAAGGGCACTGTGGGTAGGGAACCTAGGAATCTGCATTTAAAAATAAGGTTATATATGAATCTAGAATTTGGGAACCCCTGCACCAGATGGGCCATATGAGGTCACATGAATAATGGTCAGCAAGCGCTGAAAGGGCAGGACAGGAACACTGCAAATCACTGCAAAAATCGAAGGCTATTTAAAAATAATTGTTTATGTGAGTTGAACAGCAGGCACCGAATGCTATAATTATTTGATCATATAGCAAGGCCAATGTTCCTTAGAGATGACCAGAGAAGAAAAAATACCCTCATCCAGTTCAAATCACAGATATATATATTGAGCGCCTACTATGTATAAAGAAACTCCAGAAAAGTAATAATGTGCTGTGGGCCTAAAGTTACTTATTGGATTGTTCTCTCCTTTTCCTTCTCTCTATCGATTCCTCCTGTAGGTGGAACGCTCATAAATCATGAAGCAGTTACTTCTCAAGCACCTGAGACAGGATCCTGCCTCAGACTTATCTTACTATTCGAGAATTAGCAAAAAAGAGAAATGGCAAAAGAGCAGATTGCTGCCATAGTGTTCAGGAAGACTTTTCTGGGTTCTGTGTGGCTATGGCTCTAAGGTAACACACGAAACATGCCTATGTTGGCCCAGCCAGGGAGAGGCGATTTAGAGAGTCAGTCCGAGTCATTTGCAAAGTCCAGCTCAGAACAGGGGTAGAGATGGAGGACCAAGTCTAAGAGGCTAGAAGAGTGGAGGCGGCAAGATGCAATCTGGGCTTGGTTTCCTAATCAGCCTATTCCTTAGCTCTGTAGCCATGGCGCGTGTGCATGGATGACCCCACAGCAGGCACAGAAACGATGAGCCAGAGGCCTCCCTCTCTGTTCACAACGGCAGTAGAACATTCACTCCCACCAGCAAAAGGGAATCAGATTTTCCACGTCCTTCTGACCTCAATGTTTAAGAAGCTCATTTTTCGCTTAAGCCAACTTGTCAGTTTGTAGGAGAAATTTGGTGGAGATTTGAGAGGCTATATTTGATTTTGCATTTAGGTGGATGTTTATTAGTTATGCCCTTGATCATTCTGCCTGTGTGACCCTGTGTGGGAGAAATGCCTAAGTCTGGAATAACATTCACCTTTTTTTTTTTTTTTTTTTTTTTTTTTTTTTTTTTTTCCTGCCTCTTGCATACCCCCTACTGGGGATGTGCCCACAACCAATGTATTGTACATGCCCTTGACCAGAATGTCTACTTTCCACATGGTGCTCTCCACAAAGCCTTTAGAAATAGAGATCTGTAGGCCAAAAGAGCCATCTGGCTGGAATAGCAGTGCCTGAAGCCACCATGCATTCACTCAGCAACTATTTACTGAGCACCTACCTTGTAGGCTGACCAACCATTTTGGTTTACCCAGGGCTGTCCCAGTTTGAGCATTGGAAGACCCAGAAACCCTCATTCCCAGGCAACCCAGGGCAGGGTGACTCTAACAAGACAGTCAGGATCTTCATTCCTTTTGAGATTCCATTCTAGGGGAGCCTTCAGATAGGGGCATCACTCGCTTTATTGCCCTTCATAGGTGTTGCATTTTTTACAGACTGAAGGTAAGACCCTCCACCAGCAAAACTATTTACGATTCACTTTATTACCATCCTTGCTTTACTGTGGTGTTCTGGAACCAGCAATATCTTCAGGGTATGCCTGACTCTGTATGGGTTAGATAGCTCAAGGGAGAATTACAGAGTAGAAAGAGAGAGGGCTGAGGGCACTAACCTTTATGTGGGCACAGAAGCAGGAGGAGGAAGAGTGGATGGTGTCATAGGAGTCCAGAATTAGAGAATAATAATATTGAAAACATTTATAAAGAGCTCATATAAAGCAGGGGAAAATGAACAAAGGACATGAATAGGTAACACAGAGAAGTAGAAAAACAAATGCCAGTGTGCATGAAAAATACTAATATTCAACTCTTAACAATCATAGAACTGCAAATGAAAACGCAAGTGATAAGACTTCTTTGCTTATCAAACTCATAGAAGAAAATAATAATGCCTAATGGTGCTTAGGTAGCAAGGAAATGGGCATCCTCAGACACAGAGCATCAATAAAAATGGGTGTTACCTTGCTGAGAATGTAATTTGGCAGGAGATATAAAATTCCACTTGTAGAAATCCACCCTACTTTTTGCCTGAAGATTTTTATACACAGACGCTTGGCAATTTTTAGCTTAAAACCTTGCCTTATTCTATAAAAGATTTTTACTGGTGTGAATATAAATAAGAAAGCTGAGTAAAATGGTCTGACATAGTTACTAACTCACATAATGTGTGGGAACGAATTCTGTTCAAATTTCTATTTTTTCTAATTCTGAGAAACTAAAAAAATAGAGAACATACCAATCATAAAACCATCAACAATGATTAAATCCCAGCTTGACAACTCAACATTTGGTCATACTTTCAAAGTGATTTTTAAAAACAATTAGTAGATTATTTTTTAGAACAATTTCAGGCTTACAGAAAAATTGAGCAGATAGAATCAGAAGTTCCCATTTACCAGCCCTCTTCCATCAGTTTTTCCTATTTTTTTTTTTTAACATCTTACCTTAGTTTGGACCATTTATTATAATTCCTGAGCCCTTACGGTACATCTTTAGGAGCCATAGCCTGTAGTTGATTCAGTTTGCCACAGTTTGTCCTTAATGTCCTTTGGTTCTAGGATGCCATCCAGGACCTCATATTACAATTAGTTGTCATTTCTCCTTAGGCACCTCTTAGCTCTGACAGTTTCTCAGGTTTACTTTGTTTTTGATGACGTTGACCATTTTGAGGAGTAGTGGTCTTGCCTTTTGTAGGAAATCCCCTATTGGAATTGGCCTGATATTTTTGTCATTATCGGACTGGAGCTAATGGGTTTGGGGAGGGAGATCATAGAGGTAAAGTGCATTTTCATCATGTCAAGGTACTTACTGTCAACATAACTTACGAGTGTTGATATTGACCTTGATCACCCAGC